GTAGGGATTGGCGCGGTCAGAGTTCAGCTTCAGAAAACTACAGGTCAAATGGTAGGGGGGACCTCTTCAGTGTTCCTGGGGAGCGATCCCTAACTTAGAAGGGGGTCGCGCACTTCCAGACTCCGTCACCTTCTCCAGCCTCTTCGGGGCTCTGCCTCTGGCTGTTGGTTTTTGAAGTTTACGGAGGAAAGCGTCAACGTGTGCTCAGTGAAACCTACGCATTCTGAATACAGTCGCTGGAGCGAAAGATGCGCAGAAAGGTTTTGTCTTGGAGACCAGCAACCATGGAGAATCGGGCAAACTGGGCACATAATAAATGTGCATTTCCCCATTGAGGTGAAAGGAACACAAAAATCTGCCTTCTTTTTAACCTTTCTCTTTTTAAGACAGGGTCTCACTGTGTAGTTGGGGCTAGGGCTGGCCTGGAACTCGCTTAGATTCTCCAATCTCAGACTCCTGAGAGCTGGTGTTACAGGCGTGTGCCACTGTGCCTGGCTATTTTGTTTGATTTGTCTTGTGCTTTTTTGAGACTGGGTCTCTCCATGTAGTCCAGGCTGGTCTTGAACTTGCTGGAATCCTCCTGCCTCAGCCTCAGGTGTGCACCACCACACCTGGCCTACTGCGAAGTTTTTTTAAAAAAACCACTTTTAGGTGTACTGTGCAGTGCTGTGGAGTACATTCAGTGTTGTGCAACTGTTGCCACTATTCATGTTCAGAACTTTATCATCATTCCCAGTAGAGAATGTGTTTTCAATCACATTATGTTTGTTATAATCTGTCTCTGATTTTGCCTTCTCAGATTTTTAACTTGGGAAACTATGATAGTTTATGGGATTGAAAGTGAACGTAATGAAAGTTCACTATCTACTGGCTGGCTGTGTTGTTAAACACCAAATTGGAGAAATGTCCAGGTTCTTTCTCTCCATCGTTGGAGAGAAACAAAATACTATGCCATGGTTAACTGGTTCTTAGAAATAAAGGGAAAAGCACCCCCTAGTTATTTTCAACGTTTTATTGTGGAAATCTCTGGGTAATGATATTTCATTTTTACTTTTCACCATTTGCATTGGGTGCCTGGTAGGATTTCTGAGGGCCCTGTTTGAAGGCTTTGGGATACATTAGTGCCAGGTGTGATAGCACTGCAGTGGCTGAGTCGGGAGAATCACTGCAAGTTTGTGAGTTCAAGGTCTGCCTGAATGGACCCTGTCTCAAACAAAACAAAAAGGTGCATTTATTTCCTGTATATAGGTTGGGGTGTTGCTGGCACCTTGTGAGGTGAGAGGTTGAATTAGTTACAGATGATAGCACCAGGAATACATTTTTCAAATTTTCAAAGCTCCACTTTTAAATAGCCATTTTATGCCTCAGTCGTTTGACAAACAATGCTGGACAGAAAGCTTTAGAGTTAAAATAGTCTTTGTTGGGAACAACTTGAGTCTGGGACTTGCTTACTAGAGCATACTTATGGAAACTGGCAATGCTTAGATATTTTTTTTGTAGGCCCTGTGGAAAAACTTGTTTTTGCATCACAAAGTTCTTGAAGCAAAACTTTTTTTTTTGAACTGGGGATTGAACTCACCGACCTTTTGCTTACCTGGCAGGCGAGTTGCAACTGGGCTAAATCACTGGCCTTGAAGCAGAACTCTTGAAGCCCAAGTCTGGAGGGAAGAGTCCTTTTTTTGTAGTAATTAATGCTGTTAGAAGTTGGGAGTGGTGGAACGCCCCTCCCCAGGGGGGCTTGTATTACTCCAGGACGAAGATGAGATGAGGTGGAGAAGACATGGAGCAAAGATGAAGGATTTTGGTGTATGCTTTATTTATTTATTTTGGTGTGTGTGGGGGGCAAACTCGGGACCTTGCACTTGCGAGGCAGGCGGTGGCACCACTGAGCTAAATCCCTGGCCCCTGTATGCTTTATTTTTCATAGACTGTGTGTGTGTGTGTGTGTGTCTGTCTGTCTGTCTGTGTGTCTGTGTGTCTTTGTGTATGTTGCAGGGGTTTGAATATAGGGCCTGTACCACTGAGCCACACACCCCAGCTCATTGTTCTAAAGAACTAAAGCTGCTAGACTAAGGTTGGAGAACTGGCTGGGGCCAGCTGGTGGGCAGTGAATTCCAAGCTGAGGAATTTGGATTTTTATCTTGAAGGCCTTGGAGAGGTGGGAGGAAAATAGAAGCTTGATTTTTCTGACTTATGGCTTCTCCTGCAGAGGGCTGTGCTGTAGACAGAAAAGGCAGGTAGCCAGCAAGCTTTGTGGAGTCCCCAGGCTGGAAATCTTGTTTTGCAGTTACTTCTCTCCTGGGTATGAGGAGTGCTTTATTTTAATGAGAAATGTTTCCCATTAAAGTCAAG